CAGCAGGGTCTACTGAAATCCATAGGTTTGTACCTGCACTTCTTCCTTGATTCATGGGTTCTCCCCTAACAGAAGGACATTTTCTGAGTAGTGTGCCCCTAGAGTGCCTGCTGTCCTTGGAACTCCCAGCCATGACCAGATCACTGTATAAAATATGTTTTCCAGAAAAGAAATGTAAATCCAGCTTTATAATGAAAATGTTATTAAAATCACTTATGTGACCAGCTACCTTAATAAATAGACATTTTATTACCTTAGGCAGAAGCATGTCACGTTTGTGTCTTGTTTTTTTTTTATTTGGAGAGGTTTTTGCTATAGGGCGTGTGCACTCACCAGACAGAGAGAGACAGAGAGACAGAAAGCGAGAAATCACCCACCGGGGGGGTGGCCACACCACAATCCCTTCTCCTCTTGGGATCTTGGGCACGCACACATGCCCGGCATGAGTTTAAGCCACCGGGTCCAGGACTCAAACCATGGTCGACTATGTGGAAGTCCAGCGACATAGCCATTACGCCAACTGCTGGGCCCAGATCTGGGGTTTTCTGAGACTGTCACTCCTCATCTATAATGTGGGATCATCTGGACACTGGCCTCAGTTTCAGGGAACAAGAGTAGCCACTTGAGGAAAGCATCTCCAAATATTCAAGGGGAAATATTTGCTTCAATATTGTCGAAAATCAGCTTTGTATCCCAAGCAAGTCATCAAATATTCTTGAGTTATCCTCTTTTGGTTGTCAGGGACATGGTGCAGGTTTTCTCCAGAGCTCTAATTAGATTTCTTTGTTTACCATGATGGAAACTTCAGACCCTTTCCTTTGAGGTAGTCTCAAAGTACAAACACTTAGTTTTAGTTGAAACTTATCTCTAAGAAAACACTTTTTCTGGGACCAGCAGATGCAGTAATAGTTATGTTGCTGGACTCCCACGTAGTTGACATGGTTGGGCAGCTTAAAACTCATATTGGGTGCATGTGTATGCACCTAAAATCCCAAGAGGCGAATGGAGAAGAGATTGCTGTGTGATCATCCCTGCTGAGGGATGATTTCTCATTTTCTGTCTCTCTGACAAGCACATGTGCCCTATAGCAAAAAAAAAAAAAAAACCACCTCTTTAAAACAACAATAAAACACTTTTTCCTTAACAAAGCATAACTGTTATTACTACACAGATTTAAGTTTTATTTAGACAACTTTTTTCCAAATTGATATTGTATACTGTTGTTTCCTTAACCTTTAATTTCTCAGCAAATACAATGTGGTCAGTTGATTTATCTTTATCTTTCTCCCTTTTTTTGGAGAGGTTTTTGCTATAGGGCACGTGTGCTCGCCAGACAGATAGAGAGACAGAAAGCAAGAAATCACCCCCCAGGAGATGGTCATGCCACAATCCCTTTTCCTCCATTCTCCTCTGGGGATCTTGGGCACGCACGCACATGTGCCCGGCATGAGTTTTAAGCCACCGGGTCCGGGACGCGAACCGCAGTCGACTATGTGGGAGTCCAGCAACATAGCCATTACGCTAACTGCTGGTCCCTATCTTTCTCTTCATTTATATTGAATAAATACCTGTCATAAATAATATGGATTATGTATAATTCAATTTGTTTCGCAAAAGAATTAAGGTTAGAAAATTGAGACAAAAGGAAATAAAGGCAGAAAAGTCAGGTGGGATTGGGCGGGAGGTTAGCATGTGAGGTACGTGCCAGGAGGTCTGATTGCTTTGTTATTAGTGAGCTGCAGATGTGATGCTTCTCTTTCTAGGAGCTGAAGAAACCTGATTTGGAATGTGTATCATGAAAACCTCTGTAGCTCTGGGGCTATCTGAGTGTGTGTATGTGTATGTGCCCAACATCCCCAGAGGAGAATGGTGGAGAAGGGATTGTGGTCTGTCTATCCCCCTGGAGGGCAATTTCTCAGCTCCTGCCCCCGTGAGTACACACACCCTATAGAAAAAACTAAAAATAAATAAATAATTTTTTTTTAAAATGAAGCTTCAAAAAATATTTATCACTGGGTGAAGGGAGGTATTTTGTCTCAGGAAAAGGGGGAGGGCCTGGGGACAACTGTTTTCGTTTCCCTGGGTTGTTCCTCACAGCATCTCTCCATAAGGGCATCTTGGTAAAAGCAGAATTTCACAAAAGTAGTTCTCAAAGGTGGCCAGTAAGACGAGGCCAAGGATGTGGCACTGTAGAGCTGGGCAAATCTAGCACTGCTGGGGCAGCAGTTCTTGATCTTGCTACTCTTTGTGATATGTGACCTTTAGACCTAGAGTTTTCACTTGGAATTGTTGGTGCTGGTCCTTTGGTCCTTTTTCTCAGGAGGCTGGGGTAATGTGGATAGTTTCAGAGTTATTTGTTGAAACTAATTCATCCATTGGTTTCTGTATAATGATTATTATTGGTAACATCATTTCCAGGCTTCCTCAGGGGACACTGATGCTCCCAGGGGACATCTAAGCTCTCTGCCACATATAGGTGGAAAACAACAACCCAGACATCCATCCACAGCCATACCTTGTAAGGGTGCGAGACACAGCAGACCTGTGGTCCTAGGCTCCCTGTTGCCCCTCTGGTTCTCAGAAAGATGGAGGAACAGGACCTGCTCTTGGGCCACCCAAGAAAATGTGGTTGCTGAAATGGCTGCAGATGGCCAGAAAAGTAGGAAAGGAAAAAAAAAAAGAATAGAGCTTCAGTGATGGATGATGTTGCATGGTAGTCTGACAGACATGTAACTGGACCCCAGAAGAAGAGCAGGGAGACAGAAGAACATTTGTGGTAATCGAGTTTAAACATTTCCCAAATTTGATGAAATGCATAGGCCTACAGATTCCTGAAGCTTAGACATAACAGAATGAACACAAGTGAAAAGGTCTGAGACCCATCATAATCAAATTGATGACAACTGTAATGAATAAAAGTTTTAAACAAAAGAAATGTACATTATATACAAGCAAACAAAGGTAAGTTGACAGTCTCATCAGGAACAGTGGAAGCCAGAAGACAGTGGAATGACATCTTTAAAAAGTATTAAATGAGGCTGGCAGGTGGTGTGGTGGTTAAGGATGCTGGACTCCCACATGGCCAACCGCAATTTGAGTCCCAGACCTGGCAGCTTCGCTTTCTCACTTTCCCTCCCGCTCTGTCCCTCTCTGGTCAAATTTAAACAAATGAATGAATGAATGAATAAAATTAAATAAATTAATTCTTTTTTAAAAAAAGTATTGAGAGAAAAAAATTGACTAGCTAAAGTTTCATATTCTGAGGAAACAAGCTAAAGCTGGAAGAGT